TACTATAGGCAAAACCCTCCATAGAAATAATAAACAAGAAGGGGGCGGATCCCCTTGTCCTAAACCTTTCTGCCGGGAAAAACACAGTCGGTTCTCCATTACAAGAATGGAGAACCTAGTGGTTTCAATACAAAAAGTTATCCATCTTAGCCATCTCCATCCGAAGCCCATCAGCCTGAGGGTGTTAATCAGAAAATCTCAATTCGGGTGATCATAAGCTTTTTCAATATCTAACTTACATATCACCCCTAGCACTCCACCTTTAATTCTTGTATCAATGCATTTAAGTGCTATAAGAGCAACATCCATGATCTACCTTCCCTTTGATGAAGGTCATTTGATGCTTATTAACCAATTTATTGATCACTTTCTTCAGCCTCTCTACTAGCACCTTGTCAATAATTTTGTAGACTCCAGTAATCAGACTTATAGGTTTGAAGTCCCTCAACTCACTTGCCCCCATCTTCTTTGGAATCAAGGCTACCAGGATGACATTGAACTTTTCTCAAACATTTGGTGGGAATGAAATTATGAAAGGTTTGCATCAAATCCTCTTTAATCAATTACCAGAAAGCATGAAAAAATGCCATAGTATAGCCATCTAGACCAGGTGCTTTGTCAATAGCACATAATTTAATCCCCGCCCAAAACTCCTCCTCTTCAAAGTCCTTTAATAACCATTTATGTCCATTACTTGTGATTTTCTGAACATCCATTATGTTCAAAGATGGCCTCCATCCTTCAGGTTCTTTCTACAAATCTTGATAGAAATGAACAATTGAGCTTTTTGATTAACAAAAGAGCAGTAATCATAACTTCATTAATCTCCAGAGGATGAATGGTATTAATCCTTTTGTGAGTTGTAGTTATTCTATGAAAGAACTTGGTGTTCTTATCACCACACTTGATCCATTGAATCTTGGATCTCTGTCTCCGGTGTATTTCTTCATTCTTTGTCACTTCCTCATAATCCATTGTTAAACTGGCTGTCATCAACTGCTCATTGTTTGTTAGAGGCTTGAGTTCTTGAGTGGCTTCCAAACTGCTTAGTTTCTCCATAATCTGATTTTTTTTTCTAGCCCTCCAATTACCCTTGTTATCCATACTCCACTCCTTGAGTCTCTTTTAAAGGAGAATTTTGTAGCTAGCTACCACCACAATAAAGGAACCTCACCCACCAGTCATGCACTTTGTCTCTAAAGCCATCCACATTTAGCAGTTCACTGTTCCACTTCTTTTTAACATTTGTCTGCATTTGTTGTTGTTGCCTGGCAATGTTCTCCTGCTTTTTTCCATCAATTTTCATGAATAATACCAGAGCCCAACCCTTAAAATTCTGCCCCAAATTCTTTACTAAGTTTAAGAATGTGTTCGTGTATTAAATTAGAGTGTTGAAAACTGGGTCAACATCTTTATTGGGAATTGCACCTCCAATTGAGTGATATCTTCTACTGAGTAGTTCATCTCATCCACCTTCTCATTAACTTGCACGTCCCAGGAACCTATTGGCTCCCAAGTCATTGCTTTTTCTGCAATGTAATTTCCCAGGTTTTGTTGATCAATCTCAGAATTACTTTCTGTGATTTCAAATCTTTCTATTGTTGCAAAAATTTCCCATCTCCTTTATTGTAGTTTCTTCGTTTCTGTTTTGAGTTAATTCGTTGAAAGTGCCGATTCTGTTTTGAATTGATTTGTTGACTGAGTTTGCATGTATTTCGATCTTAAAGATGTCCATAAATGAGGCCTCATTGGACTTGGTAGTAATTAGTTGAGTAGTAATAACCGGGGCTGGAGTTATTAGGCCTATCCTTCAGCCCAAATGTTTCTTCTGAATTAGAAGACCCAACCCTTGTACTTGTGGGCCCTTCTCGAACAATCTGGCTTCACGTGTCCTAAGATTTTAAAATCCCCTTCTTTCGATGTACCTGCATGCTCAGTCGTATATTGTGCTGGCATCAGACCTATTTCACAGGTTTATCACTCCTTTTATCATGTGGTTCCTTCATGGAGCCTCTCCTTCACACGATATCAGATTAGTGTATTTATAGCAGTCGCTTTCTATCACTATTTCCAATGGAACATTCTTTCTTACCATCGCCTCTCACTTTGATACGTGCCATGTACAAGTGACTTCTCAGTGACATTTCTTCCTGTCTTTATGTAGCCGCCACAATGGTCACCAACCATCTTGAAGCTTTTCTGAAACCAGAGGTTCAAGGGGAACCTGGTAGTCTTATCGAGACCCCATCCCTTCTTCCGACTAGCATATGTTGTTGAGCTCCACCATTGGAGTTGTGCCTTGTGTTTCTTCCATACCCATTCGGCAGATAACACATGTTCAACCACCTTCCTAGATGGAAGTTCAAAGAGAAATTGCCATCATTCATGGAAAACATACGAACTCCAAACACTGTCTTCTTAGTGTTACATGCCCATTTACGAACATCATTCAAAGTTGCGATTTACTGTGACTGTTCATGGAATTCTCCTATAATGCATCTGCCCTATAGCTCCTTGTCAGAGATAGTTGAGCCTCCATCGATGCAGATTTTGTTGGTAGTGGGGTCTGGATCTATGAGGCTTTTGTGACCTTTGTTGTCCATCTGTTTCTCTTGAAGGCTTCTTTGAAGGAGGAATCAAATCGCTTGAAGCTGACAGCATGTCTCCTATAATGCATCGGCCCATCCTCCCTTTAATGTGGTTTCTGGTGTAATAGTGACATAAAGCTTCTCGCTAGTGCTTTACCCCACCACTGAACATTGCGTTGCTATGGTCAATAAACAGCCTTAAAGTGGTTCCGAATGACCTTGAGGAGGCCCCGGCGCAGCACCTTTCTCGCTCGAAGGATCTATGAAAAGAACGTCCCACTACGAATTCCTATCCCATTAATAAAGTACAGATAAATAATATATTCCAAGTCTGACTTTTAAAGCATACGCATTGAAAAAAACCTTTGGCTTTGGACTTTCTGCTTTGATAGATCTTTCCTCTCAAAATAGGTTTTACCTAACCCACTATGTCCTTTGTTTAATACCCATTTTCAGGAGCGGGAATCTTGAATTGAAAACCCTTTCTTCTGCCCTCGCCACTTCTTTCGCTGACCCTATCCACCTCCTTTGCGGAATACCAGAAAAAGAGATGAATTAGCGGATCATAGGGCTAAGTCGAAGCATGCCTGAACCTTCTTCGTCGGAGACTGAGTTAATATACAATCCCACTTTGGAGACTTCCCTTCGGGATAGGTAGGATATGGTGCCACAAATTGTAGTCTACTCGGCATGCGTCGATTCTTTGCTGGAGAAGCCTAGATCACTAGTTTTGGACTATCGAGAAACCCCCCTCTGCCCGCATCCCTGGAACTTGCTTTGCTTTTTTGCTTTAAAGACCCCGCCTGCTTCACACCTTCTATGATAGGGGAAATACTTCCGCACGAGTACTAATTTGATTAGCATAAATGAGCCTCTTCTGAGCCCTTGAGATTTTACATATCAGCTTCAGAAGATTCAATTGGATCATTCTTGGCACAGAAGAATGAGGAAGCAAAGGTAGAGTGTGCTCTGGAACTCCAACACTTGGGTTGTTATGTCCTTTGTTTTCCCATTGAATGGAAATAAGTTGATGTACTTACCATTCTCATTGTATTTAAGAGTGCAAAAGAATTCTGAGAAATGATCCTTCATGTTCCGTCTCTTGACTATCTTTCGTTGCCCTTTTGTTGCATCAATATATACAGATACCATCTCATAACTTTAAGACTAATCGTAATTTCCTCATTAAAAATCTGCTGCCTTCTGCCCATGCTACCAAGTTTCGGAACCTGATTTAATTCTAGTAATGTCGTAGGATTTGAAACCTGCATTGTAATAAATCCTGTCCTCCTCCATTGTAGAGAGAAGGTTAGTTGCCAGAAGATCCCCCTGAGGAAGTTGTTGTGTTGAAGAGACGGCTAGAAAGGTCTAGCCTTGAAAAGAGTGCTGAGAGCTGATCACGCTTGTTCATAGAGCCTTTTATCCAAAGATAACTCCATTGCTGTTTGAATAACAGGCTTTTATTGGATAGATTCTGGCTCCTAATTCTGATACCATCCAGTTTCTTTTCTGTCATTATAAATTTCCAACTCACCAAGTGATATGTTCTTTTATATTTTTTCACTTGCTATAAAAAAAAGGTCCATCTTAAACTTGTCCAACCTTCTCTCCATCTTCCTTGTAACTGGAACAGACACATAGAATCTGTGGGTAGAACATCAAGAAACCTTTCGAACCACGAGGTTGGTGACTTGACTTCCAAAATCTATTCGCCCTGCCTTATAAGCAGAATACCACACTTGACAACCAAATGCGTGAATATGAAATTAGAAGAGGGCATTAGTAAAACCCATCTACCAAAGGTGTCGAGTAGAAAGGTCACAAGATGTGCTTTTCACTTGGTTAGCAGTAAGGGAGACCATGCTCACAACGAAAAACTAGAGGAAGAATGGACTATATAGGTCAGTTGGTGCTACATTTGCAAATGCTCGAGAGATTGATCACTTACTGTTACACTGTCAGATTGATAGCCAATTATGGCTAACTGTGTTAATTTTGTTGAGCAGACAGTGGACGACACAAACCACAATCAAGGATAAGTTATACAACGGGGCCTCTAAATGAAGGAAAATGAGGTGTAGAGCTTGGGAAGTAACCCATTTGTCCCTTAAGTGGGTTGTATAGAGACAAAGAAACATGAAACTTTTTGAAAGGTGGATATAGTACCTTAGTACAAATAGTTCTGTTGTCTTCTGGGTCTAGTCATTTTTAGAGCACCAATGAGGTCCCAGTTAGGATAGATGCTTCAGTGTTCTTTGTAGTGAATCTTATCTTTTAAACCTATTCACTTTTTGTATGCCCCTTGTATACGGAAGATTATCTCATCACGTCAAATAAAATATTTACCTTGTCTAAAATATTAGCAAAAAGAAGAAACACTTGTTTTTTCAGAAGAAGGAAAGTTTAGCATACCAATCCAACACTGCATCTGAGCACAAGGAGATACCCTTATTACATCTGGTGGAGGAACACTGATGTTCAAACACAAAACAAGGGCAACACATCCCGTCTTCATCTGCAAGAGCCAAGAAGTTTTGCAAGTTTAGATGGTAAAGATATCAAACATTTGTTTATTGTATGAGAACTAAGCCCAAACACTGTAAGATATTAGCTAGCTCAATATTAAAATTGAAACAAAAGGTCAGCAAGCACTTCATATATATGAATTTCTCTTTTTACATTAGTAACAAGCAACAAGTGTAGAAAATGGAGGGGCAAGCCCATTATCCACCGAGTTCTGAACCATGTGCCACGGCCCACGGGCTCTTAGTTTTTTGTTGGTAATAAAAGAAGGCATAAAGTAACAAGCAACAGGTATAAAGCAAATCGAATCAAGCATTTAACAAATCCAAATCTTATCTTGAGACTTGGGCAAGACTGTCGTGCAGCAAGAACAGCTCTAGATAACTTTTTTGTTGCCTAAATAAAGAAGCTCTAAACAACTTTTTTTTTTTGCAAAGAAGAAAATGATTACATCTTAAAATTACTTTCACTTCAATGGTAAGTTGAGTTGTTGAAGAGAGTAACAGCAAAAGCATCACAAGGTTAAAGTATGCACAACAGATAATTGAGTAAGCCCAATTTAGCAAAAGTCAGAAAGAGCAGAAAAGTTCTAATGCCATAACACAAACAGTAATTAATACATTAAGAAAAAATAAGAGAAACTGACATCAGTTCGTACTTCATAATAGCCTCCTCTTCTGGTTTCACCAAGCTCTATTTAGATTAGAAGTCCAGGTAAAACCTTTGACTTTTTTTCACAGAGATTTTTTTCTAGATGTAAATCATAACAAATGGAAAACAAAATTCCAGATGATCTACAACGTGTCACAGTGGGACAATTGAAGATTTATACACATCGCAAGGCTGGAATTTGAATCTTAGAAGGAATATTAATGATGGGGAATGCAGACGATATATATCCTCCTACAAATGCTAAGCGACATAGTGTTGCAGTTGAACCACAACAAAATAGACTCTATCAGTTGGAAGGGTCACTCCAAGGGTATCTTCTCAGTTAGAAGTTGTTATAGTATGATGGATTTTAGCAACAACGTGAGTGTTGGCCTTGGAAAAAAATATGGTACAACAAGGCATCTACAAAGGTCTCTTGCTTCTTCTGGATTGTGGCTAGGGAGACATGCCTCACACAGAACAATCTCCCAGGGGTTTTCAGTTGTGCAGTAGATGTCCATTTAGTGAAGAACAATCTTGAAGAAGTTACCCGCCTTGTTTTGCATTGCAGGGTTACAAATCAGTTATGGAACATGTTCTTGTCAATTTTTGGTATGTCTTGGACCATGCCTAACTTCATTATAGAAATCCTGAAGTGCTGTACCAGGGAGGATCTGTGCAGGAAAGCTCAAAAGACCTGGAACACTGTTCCTCAAGTTATCTGGTGGTCTGTTTAGCTGGGAAAAAATAGAAGAATCTTTAAAGGCAAAGGAAGAAACATACAGCACCTTAAACTTAGATACATTTTGTCGACCGTTTTTGGTGCAAACTAGTTTTTGTACCAGATGTAGAAGATATTTTAGACGCAATAGCTGATTTGCACAAATTGTGATTGCACTGGCTTATAGTGCAAATATTTTATACAATATATTATTTACCGATCAAAAATGGAATCTCAAGTGTTTATCACATTTATTACTCTGCTTCCACATACAATATAGGTCCAGGATATAAGAGCTTCCCTTTTTCTTCGATACTCCTAGAAGAGCAAAGAGAGAGATCTTAGTGTTTCTCAGATCAAAAACTCAGAGCTTCCCTTTTTCTTCAATACTCCTACTGCATAATGTAAAATTAGGTGGTTGTTCGTTTCGGGGCTGTTTTGGCACATGGAGCATCTATTTAGAATCCGGTTTCTACTGGTAAGCATGTTTAAGATAACATTTACATCATTTATAAATAACTAGCTGCGCCAAGATGATAGAATACACCTATGTTTTAGGCTAAAAATATTTTCCTTTTTGCCTCCTCACAAAATTCTATATTTTTTTCCGAACCAAAAAATCCATAGTATAGCAAAAGGAATAGTGTTCCATATGTTATCATTATTTTTTTATTTTTTTTTGAAATGGATATGTTATCATTATTTTGCAAACCCTTTCTGCTCCATTCTTGTGAAAAGGCAAGTATGGTTAGTCACATTGTCTGGTGAATATACAAAACAACAAAGAATATGGACATAACTGGTAGCTGACTATCTTTAGTATACTAAAAGTGTATCTACATTCTACACCATGTGTAGTAGCAGTAAGAAAATCATTAGAACACTTTAATGAGAATATCACTTTTAAAGTGAGTAATGATTGGAAGTTCCTTGGAAAGCTTTAATGTTTCGAAATGACACCAGACCTAAGGCAACTTTCACAATGTGGCTCACTCTCCATGGAAAACTTCTCACCTCTAATAGATTGATTAAATGGGGCATTGATGTTAGCCCCAACTGCTCACTTTGTGCTACCCACCCGGAGATAGGGACCATCTGTTTGTAGAATGTGAGTACACTAGAAAGGTATGAAATGCCATATTGAAATGGATGCACAAGGATGAATGTCCTGCTACCACATGGTCGCAAATGGTTGACTGGGGAATTGCAAATGGGAAGGGGAAATCTCAGATAGCCCAAGTGTTCAAGTTAGTGTTTACAGAAACATGTCACACTATTTCGCTTGAAAGAAATCAAAGGATTTTTGAAGGAAAAAGGGCAGATGTCGCGGTCATTGTCCGGGAAGTGGCTCACCTGTGTTACATTTCCAAAACTTCAGACGCTAGTCCATACTTGGTTTTTCTAATGACTACAGATGTATAAGGTCTAGGTGCAACTGGATACGGAGATAACTCCCTATGAGCTAATCTCCAATCCAGTATAAATTGGTTTATAGTTAGGTTCATTTTCTAGAATAGCTAGTTAAGTTGACTTAGCTGCTTTGTAATTCTTTCCTGGTGATTAATAAAGTTGTTAATTACCAAAAATAATGATTGGAAGCTAGCTATTTTGGAGTCATAATTGAATTGGTCACTTCCCTCTAAAAGACAAATTTCCTGACTTGCCCAAATTAACCAATTATCCTAATTCCACAATAGCTAGCTACAAAGAAGAAGATAGTTGGAACTTCACATTTAGAAGGAATCTTAATGACAGGGAAATTGAAAGGGTTGTTGCCTTATTGAGAATATCAAAGTGAGCAATGATTGGAAGCTAGCTATTTTGGACTCATATTTGAATTGGTCACTTCCCTCTAAAAGACCAATTTCCTGACTTGTACAAATTAACCAGTCATCCGAATTCCACAATAGCTAGCTACAAAGAAGAAGGTAATTGGAACTCTACATTAAGAAGTAACCTTAATACCAGGGAAATTGGAAAAGGTGTCCTGTCTGGAACTCTTACGACAACTTTTCACCTGAACAAGCTCCCAGCATGTCTTTGGGCCTGGACTCAGATAAGGAATACTAAAGCACCATTCAAAGTGGAATGTTTCTGTATGGCTGGTGACAAAAAATGCATGTTTGACACATGAAATCCTCCAGAGAAGGGGAATCTAATTATGCAACTGGTGTCAGCTATGTGGAGAGAATTTTGAAACAATGAATAACCTTTTCATTCATTGCAAGGTGACAGATGAACTTTGGCACAAATTTTTGAATATAGCAGGAAATAACTCAATTCAAGAGATTAAGTTTAACTGCAGAATTTTGCTTTCTTTTTTGGAAAAAAGAAGAATTTGTAAATGAAGCTAAATCAATACTGGGAAAGAGCTTTTCTTTAGGTTTTTTAACTCAGCTATAATTACAACAACACTTCGTGCACATCCAAATAACCTTTTCATAGCCTTTCTCTCCCTCACTTTCACGAGTCTATACAATTCTTATCCCACCTGCTCAAAGGAGAAGAAAATGTATTCATGGAAATACTTAGAACGTGGAGAAGGATCCGGATTCACTTTTTTTATTTGATTCATACCCACATAAGGCTTTTCCTGATTAAGTAAACATTAATCTAACGCCAGCAATCATGTTGTACATCACAACTTCTAAATTATGTTTCATGTCTGCGCCACCATGCCGCTGGTTTAGATGCTCATGCTTTCATGCAACTTAGAGATTGAATCATTCACGGCCATATCCAACAAAGACACCAGACAGTAGACACATGTTTGAAGTATTCACATAGGGAAAAAATTATATCACCGTACATAGTACATTATGGCTGACTCATATTAAAAAAATATTGTCAAATACAAATCAAAGGAACTAATGGTTTGAATGAAATTTTAACAGCTTGTTACCAAAGTTAGCATTGTGGAGTTTTCATAGTTTATTTTGACAGACAAGTAGAAAATTTAACCTTCCGCTCAGATGAGCATTCATCCTCCCATATATTAATCTTCACCTTGAACAAATGAAGATTACACAAAACTATTATCCAAGAAAATCCTGAGCAGAAACTAATAACCTTCCGTAAAGATAACAGAATTTGAAACTATTTCAATCAAATAAGGGAAAAGAAATGAAAGCACAAATGAGAACAGTATTATTACAGAATTTGAGTAGAATGAGAACTAAACATTCATATGACTGATTCCAATTAATTTGTTATAAATGCATAGTTGATAGATTTAGGTGACAATTGAAACCAAGGCCATTCAAAATGTGCTTCCAAATTTACAACACTTAAAGAATTGTAATGAAAACAAATGTATAAGGAGACACATCTTACCCGGTCCTTAATCCGCCACTTAGAGACCAAACCAGTATTAGCCGGTGCAGTAGGAACATACGCCTCAAACTCATCATGACGAAGCTCACGAAACCATATAAATTGCGGTACATAAGCCATACTTGTCGCTGTCGTCGTCATCGTCATCTCATTTTCAGCAGAAACAACATCAAAGCTACCATCATTGTTCCTATCGCCATCTTCATGATCCGCAGACTCCTCCGCAACAGCTGATAACTGAGAAATCGTCAAATCTCCCAATGCCATTGAATTGTATAACCTTGATGACTAATCAGATAAATTCTGAACAGCAACTCAAAAAAGAGTTAGAACGACAATGTAAGATGTCTGTGATGAACTGAGATACGATTGTTGAGATTATTCAAACGAAGCAGGAGAATCAGTTACGGTGAGAGATTGAGCTTCACTGTAAAGCTCAAGCTCAAAGTCGTTCTGCTAAAAACCCTAGAAGGAAAGTGCACTGGAAGGGGAAGCCATGGACAGGTAGAAAGGCGGAGAAAGTGAGGAAGAGCAAACATACGCAGCGGCTACCGGAAGCAAATAGAGAAAATGATCAAAATGGTCCTTAATGTATGGCTTTGATTCCATTTTGGTCCTTAATGTATGGCTTTGATTCCATTTGGTCCTTAATGTATGGACTTGATGGAAATGGCCTTTATGTATCATAAATTGTGATCAATTTGGTCCTTAACCCTAAAATTAATATATTCTTTTTTTTTGCCGTCAAAATACACGGAATATGTAAAAGATGCGCTCGTTCAAGACTTTCCTTCCCCTGTTTTCAAAAATTCCAAAAGGGTCACATCAATTTTTTTTAACCAAAAGGGCAAAATCGACTCCTGACGGAGCGATTTTCTTCTGACAAAATTGACGTTGTTACTCCTTTAAAAAACATAAAAATCACTGCTGGTCCATTTTTTTTTTCTTTTTTCTTTAAAATCGCTGTTGTGAATTTTTTTTTAACAACGCTGCCCCAACAGCTTTTAAAAAATAGAAATAGCTGCTATAGCAGCCATTTTCTTAAAAAAGTTCAAATTTTTTTTTATTAAAAATTCCCGAGGCGAGGACTGCTTAAAAAA